TCTCTCTCTCTCTCTCTCTCTCTCTCTCTCTCTCTCTCTCTCTCTCTTTGTTCTTTTTAATATAAATCAAATAGCCATGGTTTCTCATTTTTTACCTGTGTCACTTCCTCTAGCTCCCTGTGGACAGAACGAGACTCGAGAAGATGGCAAGACAATCCAGCTGCCCCCATGCAAGACAGGAGCATGGATTGTGCCGGCCATCATGGCCTGCTACCTCTTGGTGGCAAACATCCTTCTGGTCAACCTTCTTATTGCTGTCTTCAAGTGAGTGGTCACTCCCCCAGGCATATGGGTGGATGGATGGGCAGCAGGTAAAGGGAGCCAATACTTAGAAAAGTAATACTTGTTTGTCTCTGGTCTGTTTCAGCAATACATTTTTTGAGGTCAAGTCGATATCCAACCAAGTATGGAAATTTCAGAGGTACCAGCTCATCATGACTTTCCACGAGAGGCCGGTTCTGCCCCCACCACTCATCATCTTCAGTCACATGACCATGATATTCCAGCACGTGTGCTGCCGGTGGAGGAAGCATGAGAGTGACCCGGATGAAAGGGACTACGGCCTGAGTGAGCTGCAAGCCCGCGCCCTCCGCCGGAAGTTTCCAGCAGTTTCCATAGGCAGTCAGGCAGGATCCATGCCCTTCTCGGTTCTCCTGCCTTGTGCATACTTAGAGGGATGGGATAGGGACCTGCTTGATAAGATATAGAAGAAAGACAGTATAGCATGAGCTGAAGCCAGACTTCTTAGCCACATCTAGTAAGAGAAAAAGCATTCTCCGACAGTGCTGGTGCTTCACCTTCACCACACATTTCTCCCAAGGAGCCCATTGTAAATCAGCCACGTTAATATGCACCAAGTGCTAAATTAGATATAATACTTTAAACAGTGTGTCCTGAGTTTTATTCTTCCATACTCATTTCTGGGACTATCACTATTCCATATTTTAAATGTTTTCTAAGCCTTCAGCACTGTGCCTATATGATTTTTTGAGGAGAATAAACCTTGCTTTCAAAGCACAGAAGAATGGCCTCTCCACCACCCACCTTCTAACCTGGTGTTCCTGAGGGGAAGTTTGACTGGCACTGGGCTGGAGCAGTTCCTCACTGTGTAAGAACGAGTGACTCATTGCAGGAGACTTAACATATCCATCTCTGCACATTATATACTAATGGTTCCTGCAGGCTTCTAAATGCCCCCTGGGCATAAACTCTCTAGAGCTTCTGGAAGTGTAATGACTTATAGACAATCTACTGTGCTTTTTCCAAATGTGTCAAGTCTACATCTACATTAAATCCACAAACAAGAGCTTCTGGGATAGTGGTCCAGGAATCTACCTACCTCCGGTCCATGGAATGCCAATACACTCATGACTTAAAACCAGAGTTACTTAGTCAACTGTTTCTCTCAAGTTGAAGCTCTTGGTGATCTCCCTGACTAAACAATATACAACTTATTCCTAGACATTCAAATCAGACAGTTGGAAAGATCTAGAAATTCTATTGCCATTCCCTTCTTAAACACAAGTTTAGGCAAACAGAAAGCTGGGGTGTCCAGATATTTTGTCCTCAAATCATGTCAGCATAGTCAAGTCCTGGGCAACAAATATTGTCCTTTTTTTTGGGGGGGGGGGCTTTTCAAGACAGGGTTTCTCTGTGTAGTCCTTGCTGTCCTGGAACTCACTCTGTAGACTAGGCTGGCCTCGAACTCAGAAATCCACCTGCCTCTGCCTCCCAAGTGCTGGGATTAAAGGCGTGCGCCACCACCGCCCGGCAACAAATATTGTCTTGATGGCTACCCTATAAGAATATTGCGCTGGGGGTCAATTTCGATAAAGCATGAATATTTGTGGTAGAAAACTTGGCTTAGCTAGGGAGCACAAGATGACTGGAAATACAGTGCAGGATGGAGGGCTGTGGGATTAATTTTTTATCATCATTGTGGCCAAATGCCTAACAAAAGGAACTTAAAAAAGGAGAGAGAGTTTTCATAGTTCATAGTTTACAGAGACTCAGTTTATTATAGCAAGAAAGGCCTTGGGTCTCCATCGCAGTGGGAGTATGAGAGGCAGGAAGTTCCTCCTACCTTGGGGGATCAGAAAGAAAAAAAAAAACAAACTTAAATCAGCAACCTAGCCATGATGAACTTTAAAGACTCATCCACAGTGACCCAGACAAACCTCACATATGCTAATACAACACTGCCCTCTCTCTGAGGACCAGCAACTCAAACACATAAACCTGGGGAGGGGAGGGGATATTTTGTGTTCAGATCACAGCAGGGGCCATTCAGAGACCTATTTCTATGTCAGAGCTCATTTCATAGATCTAAAGATACTAAGAAGGCCCCACCTACCTCATTTATGTGATTTGTTTTTGTTATGCTTTGTTTATGCAGCAGGGTCTTGCTTTATAGCCCTGGCTAGCCTGGAACTCACTATATAGACCAAGCTGACACCATCCTAGCAATTCACTGCATCTACCTCCTAGGTACTGGGATTAAAGGCATGTGGTACCACACTCAACCATAGATACTGCTTTCTTATTTTCAGCTGGAGTAATATTAGATGCATCACCAAGTCTTGGCACAGGTGGCAGGGTAGAGCAGGGGACATACTTCCCTGAGACCTCCTTCTCAGAGGGAAGATCTTGAAAATTTGACAGGATGCGAAGAGTGAAGAGCCAAGAGGAATGTCATGCATCTATCCACCCATCAGGGAAGAGTGAAGTTCTCCCCTTCAGCCTATAGCTGTCATTAAAAGGTCCCAGAGCATTTCCAGGTTCTTACTGAGCCTCAGAAAGAGTAAAGTTAGAGTTATATGATAAACTCTGACATGGTAATAGATTTTTTAAAAGATTTATTTTTATTTTATGTGCATTGCTGGTTTGCCCCCATATATGTTTGAAGGTGCCAGATCCCCTAGAATTGAAGGGGCAGACAGCTGTGAGTTGCAATGTGGGTGCTGAGAATTGAACCCAGGTACTATGGAAGCAACCAGAGCTCTTAACCACTGAGCCATCTCTCCAGTCCCAGTAATAGATTTTTTTTTAAAGAATATTTTATTCTTTTAAAAAGAACAGCATAGGGCTGAGGGTTTGGCTCTGTAAAATGATTTTTATATAAGCATGAAGCCCTGAGTCTAGATGCAGGGCATCCACATAAAAGCCAAGCACAGAGGCAGCAGCAGTGTTTAAAACACAGACACACACACTTGTGTGCTCACCCATACATATACACATACTCACACGTGAATATCAAGGACATCTAATGAGGCACTTGTGAGTATTGAGGCGACTCTTTTGGATCTTAGAAACATCCCTAGCAGAGGGTAGCATGAATCCTTGGCATCAGGGAAGGAGTCTATGCATGGTCTCTCTCCTTGACCCTAAAGTTCAGGGCTCTGTAATTTCATGACCACATCTCAGGTGTTCCTGCCTGGCATAGCTGTCTCCCCTCAGGAACCTGCCATATTTGAGAAGTGCAGTCTGACTGTTTTGGTCTGTTTTTCTATATTCTCCGTGGCATTTATAGTTATGTTTTACAGCCCCTAGCAAGTTCTAATTGATGTTTTGAGGTAAGCAAGAGTGATCTTAAAAAAAAAAAAAAAAAAAAAAAAAAAAAAAACCCAAAGCCTCAAAGAGCTGAGACTCAGCCCTCCTAACATTTGAACCAATCGCTGTGGCATCTCAAGGGCCCAGGAGGAGAAAGACTTCCTTATTTGAGAAATTTCCAAAGCAACTCTCTTTCTTGAGTCCTGTTCTATAAACCACTCAAAGGCTCACAGTTCCACCAGACTTCTGTTGCTGTAGCATTGATGGGGATGTTTACTTTTATTAGCAGAAAACCAGAATAACACCAGCATAGATAAAGGAGGCTTCTTTTTCTTACATAACAAAATGTGAGCCAATGGTCCAGGACAGCAGCCATGGCTCCACAGCCTTGGGTCAAAGCCGCAGACTCCTTGAATTTTCACCTCAGCTCTTTCTTTTGTGTCATTTAGTTTTCAAGGTCACAGGGCAGTTACTGAGCCTCTGGTCATCAAATGTCTAAATTAAAGTTAGAAAAAGAAGGGAAGCTGAAAAGTATAGAAAGATCCTCTCTCTCTCTCTCTCTCTCTCTCTCTCTCTCTCTCTCTCTCTCTCTCTCTCTCTTTCTCTCTCTCTCTCTCTCTCCCAAATCAGGGAAGCAAAAATCTCTTTCCTATACATCACCGCATCCTGCAGTTCACTTCTTTTGTCTCTTGGTCAAAACTGTGTCTTAGGGATGCTAATAATTTCAAGGATGACTAGAAATGTGTGTTTATGTGGCTTTCTAGCCTCTGAATAGGAAAAAAAAAGACAGGGAGAGGATAGGGTGAACAAAGATTATCAGTCAATAACATCAGCGTGTCACACTACACAGCCCAGGAAATTTGGAGCCTTTAAAAAAACATCCATGTTTCCAGTTGCTTCCTTTCCCTTCCCTTCTTTATGTTCTCAGTCCTGCCGCTTCCTTGATTAAGCCAAGCTCCTGCAGTAGCCAGGTATACCCAGGTGGGCTCCAGAGACTGCACTACTCCGAGGCTCAGGAAGGAGCTGGTGATTTGAGTGTCCTAATTAGGTTTGGACTCCATCTGGAACTCACAATAGCATCTAGGAGGCTTTCCCCAGCCTGGATTTCTTTAAAACTGTCATTAGGCCACAGGCCAGATGCTGTTGCGGTCCCTGCTCTGTCTCACGGCTCTCTTCTCCCCCTCCTTTCACCCCCACAGAACTCTTCATAACTGATGACGAGCTCAAGAAAGTCCATGATTTTGAAGAGCAATGCATAGAGGAATATTTCAGAGAGAAGGACGATCGCTTCAATTCATCCAATGATGAGAGGATACGGGTAACATCAGAAAGGTGTGTTCCTTCACACAGACACTTCCTGCCACAGGCCATGTCACCAGTTGAATTGTTCTCACGTCTCCAAAACATCAACCTCTTAAACTTATCTTTACTGTCCAAGAAAACATGGACCTTCTGAAAGAACAGGACATTTCCTGTTCAGTCAGTTGATCCAAGTTCCAGACTTAGAGACCCTGGGCCTTTCCAGGAAATAGTGAAAGTTTTGAGCTGGATGGGAGAATTGGTAAGTCTAGAACAGATCTGGCTTGGACCAGAAACCGAAAACTTTTGTCCTAGACATAAAGTAAGGAAGACCCAGACTCAACTTAGGCTCTTCAACAAGTTTATGTTTCATACTATGACCCTTAAGCATTCTTGTGCAGAGGAAAATAGTCCCCTGTTTGGCTTATGTGAGTATACCATGTCTTCTAGACAAGAAAAAACACAGGTTCTGTCAATCTGTGAGAATAATGATTGTTATTTTTCCAAGATTTATTTTTGTTTTCTTTCTATAGACCATGATTAAGAACAAAGAAGCTAATACAAAATGTTCTACTCAGATTATTTTTGTCACTTATCAAATGGATTTGGGAGCTAAGAGACCTATAAGAAAAATCTCCTACACAAACATTAGTACCTGGGCTCTGGTGGCAACACCCCCATCACAAGACAGGCATAGCCTCACGGGCACCAGTAACCATGGTGTTGTCAGGGATAGAGACAGTAGGACCACTGGGGCTTGCTTAACCTGAAAAATGCAAGCTCCAGATTCACAGAGAGACCCTGCCTCAAAAACAATAAGATGCAACACACATGCACGGATGCATATCTAATAACTTTAGATCTAGGCAAATGCCTCTATGGTTTCTTGTGTCTCTTATATTACTATAGACTAAGAAAACCATCATTCCAAGCTGGTGTATTCATAACCCAACATTTGCAACTGGCATTCAAAAGAACATTTGGAGGGTGTCACAAAGAACTGGTGTAACTATGCTTCAACTGTTTATAAAGACAGAGAGAGCAAATTGTGAATAGTGTAGAAGACATGATAATAGATTGATGACTGCAGTCAGTGTGGCGGAGCTTCAGAGATTTAAGAAACACTTCTAAGTGTGCCCACATCAAAGATCCTTTATTAACAAAACTCGTCATTTTTTTGTCTCTTGCTCTTTTTTAGAGGATGCAGGTTATATACATAGGTATAATCACATATGCCAATGCGTGGTTATATCCATAGGTACCAAGCCAATATTAATAAGGTTTAAGGCTGTGCACAGATTTTATACACAGCTGCCACTACAAAATAGAGAGATTTATGATATGCTGTAAAGTAGTTCTCTGGCAAACAGAGGAAGGAGCTGAAATTCTGAAGCTCTCTCTCCTTCTGAGGCCTTGGAAAGCTGTTTATGAATGGACAGACAGCCAGGTACTTCCAGAAATTTGTGCCATGTGGGAATATTACCATAGTGGAGACACATTTCCTCGGCATATGTCTTCGGGCCTTTGAAATGCTTTTTGAATTCAGAAAAACCACAGGCCGAGGAGGCAAGAATGGCAAGAAGGGAGAGATACATTAAGATGCCAGGAAAGCTTTGCCTCTCTGAGGAACTGGGGTGATGAGGGCCATATGTCAGTACATGTGAATAGACTGTGACCAAGTCAACAACTCCTTCTGGAAAACCTAGGAAGGAACCAGATTCTCTCACTCTGTGTCAGCCAACCCTGCAAGATGACTCCCTCCTCTGACCTGCCAGGGTGGCTCCTCAGAGTATGAGTGAGGTGAGAAGGTACCAAGAATGCAGAACAGAGCAGAAGCTTGACCTCTTGGTGCATGGGCAATAAGAAGACTGGACCTAAAGACCTAGCATGGCCTCCTGAGCCCAGGGCTGCAAATCCATACATTTTGGAGTTTTGTTGTGGTTATTGTTGGGTTCTTTGCATTTCTAAGAAAACCAAAACTAATATCTTGCAACAATGGGCCAGTACGCAGCACAACAGAAATGCCTCAGGATGGATTGTGAACCCAGCAAGAGGCCAAGGCATCTATTCTAGCTGCCTCAGTATCCTCCAGGCTTGCCTTCCTGAGTGGAGTGGCAGGCGATATCACCTGTCTTATTTATAGCCTCTTAACGGAGACAGAGAGATCTGCATACGAGTGCGTCCGTGTGTAGAGACATCAGCAGAGATGTGTGTGACTGCATTTCCCTGTCTATTGTACACAGTCTATATAGCAGAGAATATTATATAATCCCACCTTCACATAGACTGCAGAGATTTGAAAGCAGAAAGCACGAGGAGCTTATTCTCTTCTCATGGACATGTGACCCCTCTCATCTCCTCTGTACCCTGTTGTCAGCATCATCGTCTGAGTTCATCTGAAATGAGCCTCTCCCCATCTGGAGATGTGAGGGACAGAAAGCTGAAGACAGTTTCTTTCCACACAACATTGTGATTTCCACAATGGCCTTCTTTCTCTTTTTAACTTAGTCACTGTATGTGACCATCTCCTTAGGGATTCCTGTTCATTTATAAATTCTTGTCATCTGTGTCTGCATTCTGTTGCTTAAGCCATTCAACCATAATCATAACCGAGTGGCCGCAATCATGACTGAAAATCCTTGGTGGGCTCTGTGCGTTCATTCATATATGGAGGCCAGAAGACAACTTGCAGGAGTGGGTTCTCCCTCCTACCATATACATCCCAGGGATCAAACTCAGATCATCGGACTTGGTAGCAAGTGCCTTTATCTGCTGAACCATCTCATTGGTCCCAAACTTTTCAAGAAAAACAATTAAGTTTAAAGGAAGATGTCTAGTGATAGAACAAAAATAAAGTAAATTGGACCCTAGGTCCTTTTTGGATGTTAGCTTCTACATTAAGCCCCTTTCAGTTAAGTCCAGGCCCTCATCATTAATTAGGCTGTTGGGTGGTAGATGGTAAATCTCACCCAGAGTAATGGATGAGAATAGATTAACACTGGCCCATACTGTTTTCTACAAGACTTAACAGAGCAACCACCTAGGAGTGCAGAGAAGTCACAAAAATTGGTTAAGAATAGTTCTTGAGCTGGGTATGCTGCTGCATGCCTTTAATCCCAGCACTCATGAAGTAGAGGCAGGCAGATCTTGTGAGTACAAAGTCAGCTTGGTCTATAAAGCAAGTTCCAGGACAGCCAGGGTTACATAGACAGACCCTGCATATGTTTTTTCAGCCCCTTTGCAGCTGGCTTCCAGCTCTGGTTCTATTTTTTAAGTCTGTGCTGTTTTGTTCTTAGGGTTCCCACCAGACCTTTCTTAGTGTGCCTAAAGAGTTTCTTCCTCCTGCATCCCAGCTTCCATTCATTCTTGTTGGATTTCCAATCTATGTCTAGCTGACCTCCCTTGTTAGGCCTCAACTCTTCTCTTTCTCACTTTCCCTCCCCCCCTCCCCCTCTCTTCCCCCCTTCTCTCTTTCTTGTTCACTCCTTTTCTCTATGACATGGAGCCCTAAGCCTGAAGGGTGGTAGACAGAGGCCCTACCACCCATGCTAGGCTATGGCACACAGACATTTCTTATTCCTTGGACCAGTGATCACATGTAATTATGCCAAAACAGCACCAGTATCCCCTTCAGATATCAGCCCTATATCCACTGGGCTCCACAAAGAACAGCAAGAGAATAGCTATTCTGCCTCTTATTACTCTTCTAGTGCTTAAATACCACTAGGAAGCAATGCCTGGGAGATGCTGAACTGAAAGCTAAAGCCTCTAAGTTACGGCAGGCATGGTAGAGCTTGCCTGACATCACCTGTTCAGGAGGCTGGGGTAGGAGTGTCACTGGGCAGTCAAGTGCAGCTTGTACAACACAGAGTGACCACTTTTAAGAATTACTAAAACTAACGAAAACCAATGGATTAGATCATTTCCAAAGTGTCTTCATCACAAAAGTATTCAGATCCTGCGATCCTCAGTAGCAGCTAGAATGTCACTCTCTCCCCTTCAGTCTCTCCCTTTAGCCATAACCCTTCTGGAATAGAGCAGAGTTTTGATGTCTTCTAGCCTAATCCTCCAACTCCCCCAACAGGGGAACCCACCCAGGTGACTCTTGCTCTTTGTTTCTCACACAGGGTGGAGAACATGTCCATGAGGCTGGAAGAAGTTAACGAGAGAGAACATTCCATGAAGGCGTCCCTCCAGACTGTGGATATCCGACTAGCACAGCTGGAGGACCTCATCGGGCGCATGGCCACAGCCCTGGAGCGCCTGACAGGTCTGGAGCGGGCAGAGTCTAACAAAATCCGCTCAAGGACCTCCTCAGACTGCACAGATGCAGCCTACATCGTCCGCCAGAGCAGCTTCAACAGCCAGGAAGGGAACACCTTCAAACTTCAAGAGAGTATAGACCCTGCAGGTGAGGAGACCATGTCCCCAACTTCTCCAACCTTAATGCCCCGTATGCGAAGCCATTCTTTCTATTCAGTCAATGTGAAAGACAAAGGTGGTATAGAAAAGTTGGAAAGCATTTTCAAAGAAAGGTCCCTGAGCTTACACCGAGCTACTAGCTCCCACTCAGTAGCAAAAGAACCCAAAGCTCCTACAGCCCCTGCAAACACCTTGGCCATTGTTCCTGACTCCAGAAGACCATCATCATGCATAGATATCTATGTCTCTGCCATGGATGAGCTCCACTGTGATATAGACCCTCTGGATAATTCCATGAACATCCTTGGGCTGGGCGAGCCAAGCTTTTCAGCTCTAGCACCTTCCACAGCCCCTTCAAGTAGTGCCTATGCAACCCTTGCACCTACAGACCGACCTCCAAGCAGGAGCATTGATTTTGAAGACCTCACCTCCATGGACACTAGATCTTTTTCCTCAGATTATACCCACCTCCCAGAAAGCCAAAACCCCTGGGACACAGACCCTCCAATGTACCATACCATCGAACGGTCCAAGAGTAGCCGCTACCTAGCCACCACACCCTTTCTTCTGGAAGAGGCCCCCATTGTAAAATCCCATAGCTTTATGTTTTCTCCTTCAAGGAGTTACTACGCCAACTTTGGGGTGCCTGTGAAAACAGCAGAATACACAAGTATTACAGACTGTATCGACACAAGATGTGTCAATGCCCCCCAAGCAATAGCTGACAGAGCCACCTTCCCCGGAGGTCTCAGAGACAAAGTGGAAGACTTATCTTGTTGCCACCCTGAGCGAGAAGCCGAGCTGAGCCATCCTAGCTCTGACAGTGAGGAAAATGAGGCCAGAGGCCGAAGAGCTGCCAATCCAGTATCCTCTCAGGAGGATGAAAATGCAGACAGAACCCAATCCAACAGCATCACAGTTCCCAAGATAGAGCGCGCCAACAGCTACTCAGCAGAGGAGCCAAGCGTGCCATATGCACATACCAGAAAGAGCTTCTCCATCAGTGACAAGCTTGATAGACAGAGGAACACGGCAAGCCTACGAAATCCCTTCCAGAGAAGTAAGACCTCCAAGCCTGAGGGCCGAGGGGACAGCCTATCCATGAGGAGACTGTCTAGAACATCGGCTTTTCATAGCTTTGAAAGCAAGCACAACTAAACCGTCTTACCATGTGTTGCAGGAGGCTCGAGAATCCAGCACTAAAATTCTCCCCAATCCCCACCACGTTCCCCCTTCCTTGAGTTAGACCTGCTTTATTCTTAGCTGAGCAAAACAATGGGAGACATTAACTCAAAAGGTAACCTCTGGGCCACAGGTCAAGCAAGCATTCCATCTGGCCCAGTGCAAAACACAGGGGTTAAGGCATGTTCCAATCTGTTGGGTAGGGAGGGGTAAAGACAACAGACAGGGGCTAGAGATGAATGGGTGTCGCCAGGCACCACAGAAAACCATGAGCTCTGGGGAGCCAATGGGCTTCAGCACTCTCCATGCCAACAGGCATCATGGGATTTCAGCCCTGTTATCAAGAGTCGAGGGCTAAATTGCAAAATGAAATAAGGGTAGCCAGCGTACAAGATGAGATATTCTAAACTTCCATTCTGTTTTCTTTTTACATTGGTTCCATCACTGGTGACTGATGAAGAACATCCTTTTTATTCAGTATAAGCCGGCAGCAAGCAGTTCTACCTAACGTCCCACATCCTTCTCATGCCAACACTTCTGTAATTGGTCATTATAAAGAAAACCAAGGTAACAGTCATATGTACAGTTCACCTGTCTCTTATCTATTCACTTCTGGTGCCCACTGTTTATCTCTTTAGAAGAAAATAAGGGAACAGAAAAATGCCTTTTTTTTTTGTCTTGCGATCAAAATGAAAGAAGAATTGATGTTGAAAGCGAAAAATCATATGATTTATAATATACCACGGGCAATCAAATATAGTCAAGAAAGCTCAGGATGAATGTACTTAGATAATTTTATATTTTTAAGTTATTTTGTATCTCACCTGTCATCAAAGAGTTCACTCGTCAAATATGTGATACTGAACTTTAAGAAAAAGGTGGGAAGACCTAACATTAGGTTGCCAGTGGGATGTTGTTATAGTCTCACCGCTCATAGTGTGTGACGCTGCTGTGTGGGTCTTCATCATCTGCATGTCTCCACTATGTCCTCCAGACACCTCCAAGATGTAACTGCCAAATTTCCACACCGCTCATCATGTGACCATTTTGTATTTGAACACATGGTTATATGTGGATATTTTCATACCTAGAGTTTAGCCATCTAATCTGGGCTCAGCATAAATTTAATCAGAGTTTTTTCAAGGGCTGGTATCTTTTTTATGGAAATGTTCCAAAGTACTTTTTAAGGAAGTTTAAAAACCATAGATAATCTTAGATTTGACTAGGGGCTTGATATCAACCCAAACCCATCAGTTGCAGGCAGGCCATGAATATGTTTCATATTTACGAAGCTATAAAAAAGATACAGTAGGGTCAAAATAGAAAGCAAATATACCATATACAGAGTTCTATAGTTTATGCTGCTTACATACACATCCACACACAGACCCATGTTTATATACAGTATATATACAGACACATAGAGATTTCTTAAAAGGCATTGACTACCTATCATCTGACGATATAACCAAGATTATTTTTTAGTGTCCAAGAAGTTTCACTGGAAAAAGTTTATTGTGCTATTGGACCCACTGTTAAAATTATAATTTTCAAAAAAAATACCTCCAGTCTTCACCTGTTTTTACATTGAACAAGAACTGTCAAAATGGTCTCTCCCCCCACCCCCATCTCCTATTTGGAAGCACCCATTGTCATGAGATGCCTTTCACTCTGGTTGCTCTGACACAAAGCTATTATCACCAAATACAATCTGAAGAGATGAGTGATTCTAAGCCAGTTTGTATTTCACAGTCTAGAATGGAGGCATACACTTCTAGAATAGAGCCTGGACTTGAAGTGGGATAAAGAAATCTTGACCACAAAACTATTGATGATCCTGTTTAGATCATTGAACACAAAGTCTTTAAGAAAAGTGGTCTTGAGCCAGGAATAGTTAGTTAGCAGTGATGTACACTATGTGTGATTCCAGGCACTTGGGAAGAAGAGGCAGAAAGACAAGGAATTCAGAGTCAGCCTCTGGTACATATCAAGTTCAAGGCCAACCTCAACTACTTGAGATCTTGTTGCAGAGAGAGAGAGAGGGGAGAGAGAGAGAGAGAGAGAGAGAGAGAGAGAGAGAGAGAGAGAGAGAACATAATTTAATCTTCCTGGTCCCAGGGGTTCCTTGGTTCTTTTAACTATAGTTCTAAACACCAAGGTGCATACCTTTTAGTGAAATCAAGTCAGTCCGCCACAAAACCTGTAGCCTTTAAATATGTTTTTAAAGAAAAAAATCTTTTCAGCAGAAGAATGTGGCAGGCATGCATCCGTAAAGAATCCCATTTTATTCTTGGTATTTAGGCAATGCCCAAGCTCTTCATTGATAACTGTGCTAGAGACACTCACTTCCTTATTGGTGATCTCCAGCAGACATCCTTTGAACCTGAGAATAAATCATTTGTCTCTAAGCTTCCTTGAGCCATGAGTTCTTGTGAGAACCTAATAGAAACTCTGAACCCTCCCACAGCTCAAACTCACATCCATGTAAAGCCGCACTATAACATTAAGGGGTTCATGACTCCCCTGGTTCCACAGTGACTGGTGATGATTAAAGGGACTGCATTCATTCCTCATCAATCACGCTGCAACAGGCACTATACACTTCCAGACCATTTCCCTGTGATTCTTGGGAGGGCTCAGCACCAGAGTTTGAACCAAGGTTTCAGTACTTCCCCTCTTAAGAATAGATATGGCTGGCTGGATGTCCTTATGCCCTAACATCTTCATGATTTTGAGTAGCAAGCATTCTCAAAGGCAAAGACTCTCTGAGGGAATCCATAGGGGAGTCCAAGATGAAACCATCCGCTGTGACAATAGAGCAGGATATCAAGCACTCTAGAGCCTTGTTTTGGGACCTTCTTGGAAGCAAGGGAGAGAGAGAACAAGCCTACGTGTTTCTATTTGTTGTGATCGCCTGAGAGAAAGAACATGACCTGGGAAAGGAACCACTTAACAGTCCTGAGCTTTTGTTCTGCATGAAAATTAAGTGCTAACATCTTTGGTGAAGTGTGTGAAGTCTATAAGCCAAATGTAAACAACTTCAGACACAAACTGTGTAAGGTCTCATAAGCCATCTCTTTCCTGTGCACATGCGTGTGTGTTATTTCCAACCCCACCTCCTTCCGTCTCTGGGTTCTGTGTACCAGTGTGGCATTGATTCTGTGGCCTCGTGCAGACAGCTTGTGTTCAGCTCATTTGTCCCACCATGTCCCTGATGGAGGGGACCTTAATCACTTGCCTCTGTGAATTAAACAGCTCATGAGTAGCCAGTCATTGAAGACCATACATAAGGTCATAGAGGGCTCAAGGAAGAGACAGCTTGTTTAATCACTTGCTTCGTAGGTGCCAATTTTTATATATTATGATGTGTAATGGTTTGTTCTAAATTGCTTGCTTGTTCCTTTTGGGAAAGAAATGAAGAATGTTTTATAAAAATGGCCATGAAGGTTTCCTGATTAACCGCCATATTTTATATTTACAGTTAGAAACTGGTAGATTTGGAGTGCTAGAAAGCAAGAGGAAAATTGTCATGGCCAGTGTGTGTGTCTGCAAGCCAAAAGGAGGGCAGTCATTGTGTAGCACTTTAGAGAACTGGATGTTTCTTTAAAGTTGAAGCTTCCGGGGCCAGTTACTATTTAGCACTTTGAAAGTTCCCCCTTTAAAAAAAAAAATATATATATATATATAAATATATATACCAGAATAATGAAATGGGGGGTGTACTTGTGAAAACACAAGATGTGTTTCTTCTGAATGTTACAATTGTATTTTAAAATCTGGATTCTATAGATAACATTATGGTAGATCACTGGATAGTACATTTCTTTCCTTTTTTTTTTTTTGCAGCTGTACAGTCTAATCTTCCTGGATGTTAGGGCTGTTTGATTTCTTTAAAGATAATAAACATTATCCAGTTATCCATCATGCTATATCTATAGGCTATGCCATGTGACATATTGGGCAATGCTGTATTATAAAAACACATGTAAAACTTATCTGTAACCTGTGTTTAACCCAGCATAGTTGTAGCATGTGGTTGTGTTAATGAACGTTACAGGACAGCTTTATAATCATTTATAAATCTGTAACATTCAATAAAGAAGCACATGTGGCAAGGATTAATCACGTTCCCATTTCCATGTTTTTAGCAGCCTCTGGTAATGGGCAGTTTTGTTCCTGATCTTTATTATGCTCTTCACATCCCTCAGACCCCCAGACCCCCATAAAATACTTATGTCAGCTGATGTGCCTCCTCTACCAGGTCCCACAAGCTGAGAGAGGCGAGGTGTGGTTTTGTGTCAGACAAGCTGGCATGCTATGCAAAAAAACGATACAGCAAATGAACTTAAGGTAGTTTAAACTCCCGTTGAATTAGCTGTTTGTTTACATCTGCTGACCCCATATGGAAGCAGCGTACAGTGTTTTATAAATCTGTTCATTCCGTAGCACTGTCTGTTCTAGATAAAGTGATGTTAATGTTTAGGGGGCTGTATATCTGGCCTAGATATTGCATTCAATTTGCTAATCTTTACAATAATAATTTGACTCGACTAATAATAATCCCTCTTCAAACCTAGTCTTAATTTTGTGTCAGCACAGTGCACACTACACTTTATGTGGGTTCATTTACCTTTTTAAGGCACTTAACGTTTTACTCTTGTCTGCTGCAATCCTTAAAACAGTTAGAGAGTCACTCGAATTGTTGGGCTTCTTAAACTGGGGACTACTTTCAGTTCTCAAAAACTGAGAACAAGTAATCAAGGGTTTCTTTTCTCTTTCCAATTTTTTTTTAAGCTCTGAGCAAATAATATGAAATAAAGTATCAACTACAAATTGCAATAGCTAGGGGACCCAGAGATGACAAGGCAGTACCACTCTGGAGTCCCAAGGGCTAGGTGTGGGGGCATCTGTGATATACGAAAGACACATCTTGGATTCTTTAGGGCTTCCTGGGTGCAAATTGCTAAACCAGAGATGAAAGTCAAAGGTTTACAATGACAAGGCAGAAACACACAGATCACTGTGAGCGAGTGGTCCCGTGGTAATGCATGAGACCTCCCTTCTTGTCCTGTGGTTTTCACACCCTGTGGGTGAGCCAGGCCCAGAGGTGGGAGTGGGTGATTGTTTTATGAAGCACCAGGTGACTCTCAAAAGAACTTGCTCTTTCAAAGAAGTCGCCGTTCAGTTGTTAGAAGCCCTTCAACACCTGGAAAGAAATGGACCCAATTTGCACAGTCAAAATGCTCCCCAAATGAGCAGGGAAATCTTGCCCTGAATCTACAAGTCCAGCATCCTGTCTCTCAGGTTAAAGTCCATAAAAGAGGGAGCGGGTTCTGATTAAAGAAGAACAACTTTTTCTTTTTCAAATCAATTTCACCGAGTGTTGATGGTGCCTTTGCCCTTGCGACCTCCTTATGCTGATCATCCCTAGTAAAAATCAAGATCTACTGATTTCTCTGTGACATCTAAGAGGGGATATAAGTGACCAGATCATCCAGATTCATCAAGAGATAACAATTCATTTTCTAACTTTCCTGGAAAAATTGGCCATTTTCTGCTGGCAGCACATGATCCCTGCATCATGGTATTGGGAACTGGACCAACTTAGAGAGGCATCAGTGCCTGCCATGACTCTAGATCCCAGGGGAGGCAGATTTCTAAAGAATATGAGGCACAGGATGAGACCAGCCTTGGGCCTGGGGGAACAGGATTTTTTTGTCCCTCTTCTTCCTGTTTATTAGTTTAAAGCTAGCTCTTTCTCCCCCGTGTAAGTGTGAGACTAACAAACTCACCCATTACCTCATAATCCCTGTGGACCCCAACACAGTAATCCCAAACATCAACTACATGGAAGAAGCCAGATGTTCTGAATTTGACCCAGGTCTGGTTGTCCATCTGACTTCTCCTCCTGCACCCAAGTTCTTTATGTGGCTGGTGTGGCACATGTCATATCCAATTCTGAACTGTCCGTCTGACTTCTGAAAGGCTTTCTACATCTTCACCAGCTTCCCACACATGGTCGGAACCAGTCACCTGCCTCTCTGTGAGGGGATTGCAAACTCAATTCAAGACCCAGATCTAGAAAGGCAGTAAAAGCAGGAATTTTTTAGGCATGAGAGCATACACATCTCACAGAAAGACTCAACTATGGGTTTCCACCTCCAGGGATAGCCACACACATGTGTCTGCCTGCAGTATTCCCAATGGCCATGTTTGGAGGCCTCTTAATTTGGAGCCAAGCAGGATCTGACTCATGATTTTCACACAGTTAGCAAACACATCAAATACACTTGAGAACTTCAAGTGGGGAGAAGTAGCTTGCCCTATTAGGGGTGACTCTTAAATCACTTCCATGAATGTTGATTAGCATGTTTTTATAGATCCAAACACAGGACCAGTGTGAGGGAGACTCAGAGGAAGGATGTTGTAGCATGAGAAGACTTACTTGCTTCCTGTCACTGGAGAATCTGACCTGAGTTCCTATTGCTGCTACCACTGTGTAAGACAGTCCATGTAGTCAGTAAATAATTCCATAGCCATTTCACAATCTAGCACTTAGATTCGCACTGTAAATTGCTCTAACCATAGTTTATAATGGGGAAAAATATTCAGA